GCTTGCTTAATATTGTGCACAGCAAACAACCTTTAATGTATTTATTTGTTGTATTTTATTTATTAATGAAAATATTTCTGTAGAATTTTGGAGTCTTTGTTTTTATTCTTGTGGTATTGAAAATTGTATCGAGTATCGAATATTTTCCTTAGTATCGGTATCGAGTTGAAAAGTTTAGTATCGTGACAACCCTAATATATATATATAATAAAAAGATTCTAGTGTGCACACAAATTCAGTAAGTGGCACTCTTTGCACGACAAATAATCCCAAACAATAACTTTCAGTCAATATGCATATTCAATAAATATAAAGTTCCATATCCATGAAAAATCCAATAAATATGCACTATATAGATTAGTTAACATGAAATATAAAAAAAAAAAACCAATACAAGTGCTCAATAAATATTTAAGGCACCTCATTGTTCACATATGGGTTCTTCAAAGCTAGTCTGGGTGTCAGTTTTTATAGTCAGCAATTTAGCAGCTACACAACAAACAAAGGCATTAATGAGCTAACATTAAGCCACGCAGGAGAAACACCAATTCTGTAGTTTGTATCTCACACAAACAGGTTTTTTTCCCATCTCACTTTGGCTAAGTAGTTAGCTCTTGCAGCTCTGCTTCTCCTAACATGCCTTAATCTTCCATACTCCCCTACTCTAACTAATATACCTAGCTGATAGGCTGTGGTTCATGTGACCCTGATGCTGAACAGCAATTTGCTGTGTAGTAATGAGGGGATGGAAGTAAAAAATTACACAGATTTGATCACTGGGATCTTTATCCATTATCTACACATGTAACGGGTAATCACTGGGATTTACACCCGGGTTACATTTTGCAATTTAAAGTCGTAGTGAAGCAGCTGTTCCAACAGATGCAGTTCCGAATTCTCCCGTGTGGTGGCCGACTTTAGATGAGTGAATAAAGTGAATTTGATTGGTCGATTATCAAGGGGGCGGGATTGTTGTGGTGAAAGGTTTGCAAGCAAGTTTGTTTGTGGCCGGTGCCTCAGAAGCATATTACTAACCAGTTAGCAACTTATTGCTAGTTGGTTCCCAATGGGAATTACATTGAAACCAAGTATCTCTTAGCAATGACACTGTCAAGGAATGCTATGGACAGCAAAACATGCATGGGGAGGAGAGTTTTGTGTCGGACGTCCTTGATGAGTCTCCTTCATCATACATTTTTTTTTTGAGGAGGAAAGCGGGGACAAACTTGTTGTGGAAGAGGACGCCAGGGCGGCAGAAGCTTGGTTTGGTGTAGAAGGCTTACAGTCGTACATGTTTGAGCCCTTGCCTCTCAAAACTGCCAGTTCTGTTAGCTCTACGCCTGCAGAAGCACAGACATCCATCTCTGTCAACACTGGGACGTAATTCAATGGTAAAGTAAATTATTCTTATTCCAATCGTTGCGTATATTAGCTGCGACATATAAATCAAGATCATATGACCAAAAGAATTTGACAGATGACCGTTGATATATGATTGGCCGAATTTAGGTGAACAAGCTGACGTATAACTAACTGGCCTGCATAAGATAATGAAAAAAAACCCACAGATATTAAGACAAGATTTTTTTTTTTTTTTATAGAAATTTTCTAACTTTTGGGACAATATGGTCTGATAAAGAGTATGTTTATATATATATTTTTAAGCCACAATGATTTGAAATTTAAATATGACTTCCCTACGACTTTAAGACTGTTCTCAAACTCAAGACAAGGGAAAAGTTCGATCCTATCTAATTTAAATGTTTAAAACCCTGTTAGTACTAGTAGTGTTGCTAAAAAACATCATAACACTAAATGCTGGAGCGCTGACCTGTAGCAGACATCTCCCATTAAAAATGAAAATAAAGACCCATTATCTTTATCCAAATAATTTTTGCAGGTTTTAACTTAACCTTTGTTATATGGTGTTTATTACAGTTATTTTTCTCTAAGACCAGTAATAACAATGATGCCATATTAATTTGTATTTTCTAAGATCTGTGTTTTCCTCTGATTAATAATATGATAATAATATATCAATAATAATATTTTAATAAATGCTGTTTTAAAAGGATGTTTGGGCTTCATCGGTCCATGCGTTATGATGTCAGGGTTACGCTGGTGGATTACACGTTAGTTATGCTGAAGGCTACACTGTCTCAATCACAGCTGATCACTTCCAGCCTTCATTGTTTTTGTGGTCTTCAATGGACCCGTCTGAAATGGCAGGGTTTTTTTATGAGGGTGGGGGTGCTGGGGGCGATGAAGTAACCACATAATTTACATATTATAGGTACATGGATATAGACAGAAAATGATATAAAAATATTGCAAATACATTTAAAACTTAAGATAACTTTTATAAAACCTTCTTATAGTTCCAGGAGGTATTTTAACGTGAACTGAAACTAAATCAATTAAACTAAATCAAAAAAAAAAAAATGTATGCAGTATATTGTAGGGATGGAACGGTTTATGAAAACCGTCCGAACTGTTCGGTTCGACTGTCTCTGTTCAATTCGCGTGTGTTTCGTTTGGTTCATGCGCTGTTCCTTTTTCTCATAGGCAAAGCGATTACACTCCAGAGCAGAATGTGGTGGTACTGCGACCAAAGCCAACCACCAGTAGTAAACAAGAAGAAGAAGAAGCGAAGCAGCGTAGCCGGGTGTAGCAGAAAAAAATCAGTTGTTGTGGAGAATTGTGTGGGTATGGCGAGTGGGAAAGAACAGGAGTTGGAAGTAGGGTGGCCAGATGTCCGGTTTTAGGGCAGAAAGTCCGGATTTTCATTGCACTGTCCGGCATCCTGCGCCGCATTCAGCCCGACGTGTATTTGTCTTCCTTTACCCCCAGATTTCACATACTCCGTCAGCGCTCGGCTCTGCTCACGTACGTCCGCTACTTCTCTGTCCTCGTACGTCTTCTCCGTCTTTCACCGTCAAAATATGGAACTGAGCTCTTTTTTGCTCCGCTCCGGTCAGTCCAGATCAAGACCCGCAATTGCAATCGCACCAAACAGGAAAAAGAATTTAGAGAGGACCCGGTTTTTCAGATTAAATTATAGTAAAAACAGACCGGTAACTAGAAATTAGAGCATAGTTTGTATATAATACAAAAACTAAGAGCAATTAATTAAATAATTGGATGCAGACTATTGGTGCTTCAACAGACCAGGAAGAAGTTGTGAGATTCTAGAGCGAATCTTCAATATGTCATATTAAATTCAACGTTCACAGTGTTTATACATACGCGTTGTACTTTACAAGACATAGTAGATTTTCCTAACAATCAACATATACCGAACCAAACCGAAAACCGTGACCACAAAACCGTGAACCGAACCGAATCGTGGATTTTGTGAACCGTTCCACCCCTAGTATATTGTATAGATTGCGTTGATTTCTCAGTGGTAGATGTTGAACTGTTTTATATTTCTTCCGGCTGCTGAAGCACAATGCAACAAGATGGCAAAGAGCCGATTGCGCATGACAGGAAGTTTTGCTCAGAAACAAAATAAGAAATTCAGTTAATTTTCAAAATAAATAATTTTCTTTCGTAACTTGCCCTTAGTTCAAGAGTCCCCATAATGGTCCATCAAAAAGCCTCAATATGTCCCATTTATATTTACAACTTTTGTAATGTTATAGACTCTTACATGTATTAATTTTATTTCATAATTGCTTATATATATATAAATACACACACACAGTACAGATCAAAAGTTTCTTTATTTTCATGACTAAATTAAAGATTCATACTGAAGGCATCAAAACTATGAATTAACACGTGTGGAATTATATAATTTTTTTTTAAAAAGTGTGAAACAACTAAAAATATGTCTTCTAGGTTCTTCAAAGTAGCCACCTTTTGCTTTTATTACTACTTCGCACACTCTTGGCATTCTCTTGATGAGCTGATGAGCCCCACTCCAAAAGTTATCAAGTCTAGAAAGAGCTCAGAATATATGCCAGCTCAGACCCAGACTAGATATCGTGCTCCTATTCCCAGTCTCAAACCCAAAAATGAGAATCAGAATGGTGGTGTAGAAAGACCTCAAATGATATAAAACATAATTTTTGGTTTAATCGGTCAGTATTTAATATAGCTAGCACAATAAATTGTTAAAATATATTTCACTACTTTTGTTTAAATTCAGCATATTGTGAAAAAAAACAAAAAAACAATCAGCCCTTGATACAGGAGAAAAGTTGTTTTTTTAAATGGAGCTCATCAATTAGTCATTATTTCCATTGATAAGATCAAAATCAACTTTCGACTAATTAATAATCTGCATCTCTATTCTTTATTTAACCACCTAAAGCCCTCCATTACTGCAATATGCAACAAATTCATTTCTCTCTGTCTTTGTTTTTTTTTTTTTTACTATTTATGCACAATAGATTAAAGTCCAGGTTGATCAGTTTTAATCAAGGGATCCATCTTTCATTCTGTTGTGCTGCTCTTACTTCGCTTCAAAGAGCACAAATAAACCGTGCATTAAGCTGAAAGGCTTTATTGTATTGCAGATTGGTCTGTATCTTTACCCAAATTGCAGTGCTCAAGGACAGATTTTTTTTTTAAACCGCTAATACTTACATTTTTGTAGTTTTGTTTTTAATCATTATGTTGATCCTGTTTCACCCTCAGAGTTCACGGAAGATGATGGTCACATACCCAAAGGATCCTCTGTCATAGTCAGGAGAATCCCCATGATAGGAGGAAAGTCAAGCTCAAACAGCAAGACCAACCACAAGTGAGTGTTTTTTTTTTTGTTTGTTTGTTTTTTTTTTGTATCAGAACTCAGTAGGATTGAATGCAGTAGGATACAATGCCCAGCCAGAGGGCAGGCCTACAAGCTAGAGGCAGAGCACACCTTGGACAGTTCATGCCATAGTCATATTAAACATATATTTTCTTTTTTTTTTTTTCTTTTTTTTTTTTTACTCAAGATATTTTTTATTGAGTTTTACATTAACAAAAAACAGAGCACAGTTATAAGGTGTTGCAAGGTAAGCTTATAGAAGCCAGTTGAACAAGTTGCTCATACAAAGGTTTGTTAAAGTAAAAGAAATATAGATTCACAAATAGAGAAAATAGCATGACAACTACAGTAAAACAAGTGAAGTAATGAAGCACAAAGATATAATACAATAGAACAAACAAAATAACCCCTTCCCCATCACCTAACCCATCACTGCCAAAACTATATCATCACTCCACAACATTCAGGACCCGCCTAAGGTAGAATCGGTACAGTTGAGCATGTCTGAGCTATTAAAGAGCTGGAAATGTTTTCAAAAAATTGCCCCACAAATTTTCAAATGTAACAAGAGACTGTTTAAGTGAGTACCTGATCTTTTCGAGTTTTAGACAAGACATGATATCTTGCAGCCACTGTGAATGAGATGGTGGGGAGGCATCTTTCCATCTGAGTAAGCTTGCACGATGTGCCAAAAGTAAAGCAAAGGCTATAGAATATTTTCTAGTAGCACTTGAAACAGCTCCGCCCTCAAGGACCCCAAATAGGGCTGCAACTGGATTTGGTTCCAGTTTGGTGTTTAATGTGCAAGATAATGTATTAAAGACTGCCTTCCAGTAGTTGCTTAATTGAGGACATGAGAAGAACATATGGTAAAGAGAGGCCTCCGTAAGATTATATCTGATGCACAGTGGGCTGACTGTAGGGTACATACTGTAGATGATAGCTTAGCCTTAAAAATATAGGCCCAATGTACCACCTTAAACTGGATCAACCGGTGCTGAGCACAAAATGAAGATGAGTTGACCAGCCCAAGAGCAGAAGACCAGGTGTCATCAGGTATGGGGAGACCTATGTCTTCTTCCCAAGCCATCTTGGATTTTTCCACAGAGGGGTAAGATCCAGCAGAATGTTGTACAATTTAGAAATTAGACCTTTCTTTGATGGATTTAGCAACCACATTTCATCAATGGTTTCTGTCTCTATGGTAGTTGAGAATTTGGGCAGTTGTGAAGCGAAAAAGTGTCGTATCTTAAGATAGCAAAAGAAATCAGAATTTAAAAGGTCATATTTATCTTTCAACTGTGCAAATTAGGCCATGGTAAAATAGTGGCTAGTGAAAATGCAGAGTGGCTAGTAACTTTGGAAAACCACTAGCCACAGTGGGCAGTGAGCAAAAAAGTTAATGTCAAGCCCTGGGCTGAGCGTATTGGCCGATACTGATATTACGTGTAAATGTATTAATCGTATACCTTGCCATGTGTGTAAAGGCACTATGCTTGAGTTAGATTTTGAAACACCTAGCCAGTGCAGCTTGAGCTTTTTAAAGCTCGTCTTAAAACCCATCTATTTTACTTGGCTTTCAACACCCGTGGGATCTAGTTTTAAATTGTATGTTTTTGTTTTTTAAACTGTTTTTAAATTACTTTTATTATGTTGTGTTCTTAAATTGTACAGCACTTTGTATCAACTGTGGTTGTTTTAAAGTGCTTTATAAATAAAGTTGGTATGGTATGGTATGGTATGAACACATCATCAGTGAAGGACCCAGGGTCATAGGCTGTTTCGGGTCTTTGATCTTCAGACACCCTCGCCTGGGCGACCCAAGTGGGGTTGATTAGACCCCAATTTCTGCTCAAGCAGTACTCTACTGCATGCGTCTCCCCTCTTGATCCACAGCCACCTTGAGGCTCTTTCAGCAGCCTCACTGATGTTTCTGGTGGCTCTTCTCTCAAGCAACCCTCTGATGCCAAGGAGCCTGAATGCACGATGCACAGTCTAAGGAAGCCTCTGCAGCCCACTTCTATTGGCTAACAGCGGGCCCTCCATCCACAACCTCTGCATGCCTCAATCAGCTCAAGATATTTCACCTTCTTCCTTTCGTGAGCCTCCTCCATCCTGTCTTCCCAGGGGACTGTAAGCTCCAGTAATACAACTTGCTTTGTCGAGTCTGATGTTAACACCAGATCTGGCCTCAGTGACGTCCTTGCAATGTGCTCTGGGAACTTTAAATGCCTTCTGAGGTCTACATGCAACTGCCAATCCCGAGACTTGGCTAGCAGTCCAGTTGTGCCCTTAATTGCTCTCTCAGGTATCTCTCCTGCCCTGACATGAAGATATTGTGCCTCAAAGGAGGCTGGTGCTTTGACTCCTGGATTCCAGTGCAGATGATGTCTGCTACTGCGTACAGCACCTGGTTATGGCGCCACGTGTACCTTCCCTCTCCCAGCGCTTTAAGGCAGCAGCTTAGGATGTGCTCCATGGAGCCATGAGCCGGGCACAGTGGTTATGTTGGTGCTTCTGCAAGGCCCCAGGTATAAGGGTTAGATGGACTTGGAAGGACATCATACACTGACTGGATCAGGAACTTAAGTCTTGTTGGTTCATAGCTCCATAGTTCTGTCCAGGTGATAATCTGGGCGGACGAATGGTCCCAATTGGCCCAGGCTCCTTGCTGGCACATTGCCACTATCCTACTTTGGCGTTCCTTCTCCACCTCTGCAAGAGTCTCTCCTTGTACCATCTATCGTTCCTCTTGTCTTCAGGCTTGGTCATAGTGTTGCTTTGTGTGGCTACCTAGAGCAGCTCGTCCAACTGCCACAGAGCCAACTAAGACACTGTCTCGGTCTCTATTCTGCTTGGCTGTCTCCCTTTTGTGCTCGCCATTTCTTCCCAGTCCTGACTGTGATGTCGGCAGATGAGAGTCTGGAGTTTTTTGACATAGCCGCTGTAAAAAAATTGAAGATAAAAGTAAATCATCACTAGCTGCTGTGTGCTCTGCGTGAGGACGTAATCAGTGTTACTATCATAAAATTGGAGTCACTAGATCGGTGTACAATGGGTAAGTACAAAAGAGTCGAAAAGATATATTTGATGTTTTCTTTTATTCATTTTATTTTTATCCA